TCAATCTAAACGTGTAAATAATTACGTGTAAATTACCTTTAAGGTAAGTAAAGCGAAAGTATTTCGAGAAACACACGAGAAACAAATTTCTGTTCGACATTAAATGAATCTTCTATTAAAAGAAAGAATAAAAAAATTACACAATTATAATTATTAATTATAATTATCGCTTATTTATTTCTATTTTTAATTAGTGGAACTAATTCATAATGAAAAAAAAAATATTTTAAAAAATTTTAAAATTTTAAAAAATACTTTTAAAATATATATTTAATATTAAAATATATACATATGTATATATTTTAACATATATATTTTTCCATTTAATAAATATATAATAAATATTTTAATAAAAATAAAAATATTACTAAAAATTTAATAAAAATAAAACACAAGAATAAAAAAACGGCTGCATAATTGCACCATAAAAAAATGAAACCAATTAACTTTAAAAAAATTTGAATATTTGGATAAAAGATGAAATATCGCCTAAAATAAAAAAATAATAATCGCTTTTATTAATGTTAATGTTTAGAAATTAAGAAATATTAAACTGGAAAATTTCACTGAGAATTTCAAATTTTTTTATCTAAAAATACTGAAAATAAAAAGGAATTTAGTATTATTTGAATTATTCTCGAAGCATTTGTATAAAAATAAAACGCACATTGTTGAAAGAACTAAAAAATAAAGTGTTGATCAATCCGAATCATTTTCTTAATCTTTTTAAATTTTGATAGACCAATAAAAAATTTTATAAAAAAATTTTACCTACCATTTTTTTGCAGCAAATATGTTGACTGATACTGATTACTAATCACTTATCAGGAAAACGAATCGTTTATCAGGTTTTACTTTTAATATTGTTTTTTTTGTGTATAAAAATTTTCGAAGAAATCTTTCGAAAAATTCTTAAGTGCAAAACAGAACGATTTTTTTTTTGCCATTAAGTTTTTTATCTTTTCGTTTTTCATTACAGCTATATTTTTTAATTATCAATATTAATATAAAGTAATAATTATTTTATCAATATTATCACTAGTTTTTAATTATCAATATTTATTATCAATATTAATATAAAGTAATAATTCTTTTGTGTTTAGTATTTTTTATCAATTAAAATTTACTAAATCGCACAGTTATATGTGGGCTTAGCTGACTGAAAAATGAAGCGATTTCATTTGTTCTCAATCAAATCAATTCAATCAAATCGAGTGACTTGGAAATTGAACTTGGAGTTACTTTTATTTTTCTGCAATCAGCTTAACTAGTACTGGTAACGAACTCTTTACTAAAATCAACTTAAACCATACGTGAAAAAATTTGCATTTTTATTTTTTTCCTACTAATATCGTAAAATTCAAAAAATATTCAAAATTTTTAAATAAAATTTAGAAAAAAATATTATTTCATAAAAAAAAATGAATCTCGGTTAGTTCGCTAATCAATTACCAATTTTTTTTCCATAGATCAATAATAATTAAATTTTCAATAAAATAGGAGATTTTTTAGGCATTTGTTCGACAATAAATTAATTTTTCTATAGAATTGGCCTAGTGAAATATATAAGCATTTTTTATGCGCAGCCAGAATATTGATATTATTTATCAGTACCATTCTGATTTAATTGCATTTTTCCATAAAAATTTGGCTCTGCTAATTTTTTCATTTCTTTTTAAACGATAAAATTCGTTAACGATAAAACAAATATTAAAGATAGATTGATTGAAATTTTAATTATTTTTTTCAAGAATATTTCAATATTCAGGTGAATTTGAGAGCAGAAATTAAATTTATTAGTTAAATTAAATTAATTTAATTTACCCGAGCAATTTTATTTATTTCCACAAAAAGAAAAAATATTATGAATTATTCGAGAAAAAAAAAATGTTTAAAGATAATAATTTCGAAAATTTTAAAATTTTCGGCTTCAAATTTTCAACATTAAAAATGCTAATTTATAAATTAAATAAATTTGATTGATAATTAAATAAATTTGACTATAATAAAAAACATGAATCATACCTATTTTAATAATTTAATTAATTAAGTAATTTTAATTATTTATTTTAATAATTATTTATTTAATGAAATTATAAATTGCAAAAAATTAAAATAATTATTATTAGCAAAATGAAATGAAGAAGATGCAAATCTTAAGAACTATTCAATCGAAAAATGTTGTCATATTTAAACTTATGCAAATTAAGTCGATCGTTTGCGATCGTCGTCGTTTCGTTGCTGCTTTACATTAATTTTTATTTTGTAATTTTCTATATATTCATTATAGTGCTTAGTGATTTTTTAAAATTAGCAGATGCTGAAAAAGATTACTAATTTAATCAAATCAAATTTACAACATTAATCGAATTTATGGAAATAATGCAAATTAATGAAAGAAAGATAAAAATGCATATGATTTTTTTCACGAAAAAACAAGAAAGCAAATGGTACTAACCTATAGCATACGATTCTCGAAAAACTAATATTTTGCCAAATAAAAAAGGAACCATCCTAAATTCTATAGCGCGAATATTATGTTGAAAACAAGGATTCGACTTCTGATTCAGGCTGAAATAGATCTACTTTGAAAAAATCTTATTAGTTGTGCTGATCAACTTTTCGCCGAATGACGATCTTTCGTAAAAATTTCGAATTATACGAATAGCCAACTGAGATATTCTACTAGAAATGATGTACGCTAAAGTAATAGCGTAGTATAAAAGCAATTTTGAGAATTTCTGATAAAATAGCCCACTATTCTTAAATTATCTATTATAATAAAATTCATTTCAATGACATAGAGATAATAATCTATAAATATCCATAAATATTTCAATAAATATTTGTAGTTCTCTGTATAATATATATATATATAATTATCGGTGAACACTTCAAGATATTTTTTTCAAGAAAGCAAAAATTTTGGAAATTTTTTATTAAAGGAATGAATGTTTCATAGTTTCTGCAATATTTGCTAAGATCTTTTAAAAAAGATAAAATTATAAAAAAATAAAAATCATAAATTTAAAAAGTACCGAATAATGATTATATTGAAAAAATAAATTAATCATAAATAAATAAATAAATTATAAATAAATAAATTAATATATCAACGATTATTATGAAAAATTAAGGGAAATTAATTGAAGTTAGTATATATCATTGTTTATATATATATCATTATCATTATATATCATTATTTTATAAAGAATATAATTATTATTGTTAAATGCAAAATTTATTTTAAAACTTTAGGTACTTTTAAAATTAAAAATAAATTAATTTCATTTAATAAATAGGCTTTTGTTTTTGTTATGATTATTGTATTATTACCAATATTGCTAATGAAATTTTATAATTTTTTATAATAGTTATTGATTTAAAAATTAAAAATTTGCAGATAGAATTTTTATTAGTATTTCTTTATAGAAGAAATGCACAAAAGAAGCAATAAATCCCGAAAAATGATAAATTTCCGAAAATAGTCGTGAATAAATCTATAAATTAAGTAAATTTTTGCAAAAAAATTCTTAAACTTTCTTAATTTATCTATTTTAATAAAATTCATTTCAATGAATTTCTCTTTCTCTCATTTATTTATTATTATTTCTCTCATTAAATCCTCGAATTCTTGAAAACTGCAAAAACCAAAAAACAAAAAATAAAAGTAAAGCACAATTAAAAAACCAAAAAAATATAATTTTGAACTAAAATAATCTAAAGAAAAAGATAAAATTGAATTAAATCAAATAGTCGAATATATTTGATTTTAATGCTATTTTTATGGGAGAATTCTTTCAATAATTCTTAACAATTCAATAATTTTTCACATCTTAAGAATTATGGAATTAACAAAAACTCTTCGATGATAATAAATGATAAATGATAAGTGTTAGAAATATATGGAAAGAAATTTTCTCAAGAATTGATCATATCAACACGATAAACTATCACGAAATTAAGCAAATTAACTAAGTGAACACTATTGGATTAATTTTTCGAATGAGATTTTAAAAAATTTCTTTTTCTTCTTGTAAAAATATATATAAAATAAAGCATATATTTAAAATTTTGTTGAAAATTCAAAATTTAGAATTTGCAGTTAAAATTTTTGTTATTAAATGCAAAACTTAAAATTTATTTTAAAACTTTAGGTACTTTTAAAATTAAAAATAAATTAATTTCATTTAATAAATAGGCTTTTGTTTTTGTTTTTGTTATAATTATTGTATTATTGCCAATATTGCCAATAAATTGTTGTGGAAAATTTCTTACTTATAGATTGCTTAAAGATTGAACTAACACATTCCAACGCCATTTCAGGATTAATGAAAATTCTATTTAAGAACTGCTTTAAAAAAAATTTTAACCATTTTTTAAAAAATAGTTTCTTTTTATTATTAATTTTTTTTATTATTAATTTATTTGTGAAAATCAATATTTTATATAATTTTATACAAATAGCAAAGTTTTTTTAAAATTTTTATGATGCAACTTAAAGATTGGCTTAATCAATTGCAAAAGACTAAAAATTTTTATAGACAACCTTGAATCTACTTCAAAATTAGAAGCGTACAAAATAATCCGTTGACTTATGCATTAGATAAACGCATAAAGAATAAAAGGAAGAGAATAGTATGTTAATAGTACTTAACTATTGTTATTACAATAAGCTTCGTAGAAATTGATGAATATTCTTGAGGGGTTGAAAAGATTAACGTCGGCACTTCGTTTAAGCAATTTAAGAATCGACCGAATGTGGTAGCATATTGCTGACCATGGTCATTGCACGGCCAATCCCCTCAAGTACCACTCTCTTCATTCGTTTCTTTTACAAATATTATTTGATTGTCTTATTCTCGTATATCATTAACATTTTAGATAGATATATTTGCTAATGAGCTTCTCCATACAGACATGGTTATCTCATTTGTCACCATTTATTTATTTTATTTGATCGGTTATTCGACTAATCTTTTTAAAATAATTCACTAAGATTCATGAAATTTCATAGTATTGTTGGTTTATTCATATTGATAATATTGATAAAATACTTAAATTTTAAATAAAATTAAAATTTATAATATTTGAAATTTTTTTTTTTTTTCAGTATTTTATCATGTCAAGTGAAAACGAAAGTGGTGATAACGAATATTTGCAACTGTAAAATATAATTATTTGATAACCCATAGTTTATCGAACTTTATTTATTGTTCCAATAATTCATAAGTTATTGTAGGCTTCTCATTGTTTATACAGAAAAAAGCACTTCTTTTCTATAGCAAATGAGTAAAGAAGTGGAAAAGATTATAGTGGAAGAATCGCCAAAGGCTGAAACTTCTGGCGAATGTACTGGATCATTTCGAGAAGTTCCTGCAAAGCCTAAGGTGTTAAAATATTATAAATATTTCTCAAAAGTATTATTTTTCTTTTTCACTTTCTATTCATTTATTTTAGCAAAAATGTTTTGCTTTATCAATTATTCGCTGCAATTATTCTCCTTGATTATAGGTAGCAACACCTCAGGTGATTGCAAAAATCGAGCAATATAAACGCGATAATCCAACGATCTTCGCTTGGGAAATACGACAGCGACTTATTGAAGAGGGTTTGAGCATAATAATTATTGAGCAATGATTTTTGCAATAAAAGTTTTCGAATTTTTTAGCAGATCGAATTATTACACTAAATCTATTTTGAAGAAATATGTCCTATATTTGTCCTATGTCCTATATCTCCTAAAGAAATATTTCGTGGAATGGTACCACAAAATGGTACCCTTTAATATGCTAAAGCCTATCACTGTATTAATGTCGTAGATAGAAAAGAAAAAAAAAAGTTTTTTTTTCATGAAACAATAGAGAAAAATTGTGAAAAATGAGATTCCGAAGTTCATTAATTAGATCATTAATTTTGATCTGAAATATCTGAAATATTCAAGAAAGTATTTTTATTAAATATTTTTAAACTTTATTAAATTTTTTACAGCTGTATGCGAGAAGCCACCAAGCGTTAGCTCAATAAATCGAATATTGCGTACACGAGCTGCAGAACGAGCTGCTACAGAATTTTCAACAATGTTTGCCGTTCAACAACACATAGCTAATGTTGTTAATCGAGCTCCATTCCTATCATATCCAATTACTGCATATCGGTCAATGCAATCACAAGACGCAAATCTGTCATATTTTCCAACAACCACATCAGGTGAATAATCTAAAAATATAAAAATATTTAATTGAACTAATTTTAAAAAAATTTCAACTAATTATATAAATAGATTAATTTATTAATAAATATTAATATAAATATTAGTTTTAATAATAATTTTAATTTTAATATTAATACTAATTTTAATTAATATTAATTTTTTTTATTAATTATTATTAATTTTTAGGAGTAATTATTAATCGATTTTCAACTCCTTTAGTACGGCAAGAATTTCCTTGTGAAATTGGATTACCTATTGCGTCTACTAATATTTCGCCTAATGTATCATTTACAAACGAAACGTCAAGGATCATTAATTTAGAAGGACAACACGAATCTTTTAGATCAGCTAATTCAAAAAGATCGGCGCGAAGCACCTTCACGCCTGGTTTGTTCAATTTTAATAACAATACAATAATATAATGAGTTTTGCAAGTTCCATTGGTACTATACGATCAAGTTAACGATCTTATTTATTGCTATTTTTACAATAATATGTAATATATGTTAATGTAATATGGTTATTTCGCTTTAGATTTTTCACTGGAAAAAAAAAGTTTGAATTCTTATGAATTACTCGGAAAAATCAGAATATTCGCGGTCGAAGATTTATATTAAGGGGAGATTCGATTTGAATTTTCTGCGTTATCAACTCTAGTTAAAATATTTTAGTTCCATTGAATGTACTAGATCATACGATTGAGATAACGCCCGACTCCTAGCCCCTAGGGGAAGGTCAGAAATGCCCTATTACAAGACGAAAAAAATTTATTACATCGTATATCCGTCGACTAATAAAAAAAAGAATTGTCTGGATGAAGTATCTGGATTTTCAGCACAACTGAAAATATTGGAGAATACTTTTGCATTAACACCATATCCAACAATAGCGGAAAGGATGACATTGATCAAAAAAACTGGCTTGCCTGAGGCTAGAATTCAAGTATATTTTTTTTATTACAATGCAAAAGAGGTAATATAAAAAACTCCCTACGTATACACATGTACATATATGTCCAATTGCATGAAAATTTTATCTAGACGCTAATGACAGGTTTGGTTTTCAAATCGTCGAGCTAAATGGAGGCGTTTTAAACAGGAAACCTCGTTCGAGACAAAAGATTTTCTGCAAAAAAACTCTGAAGACAAGAAAGAAGTACCAAACGAAGAAAGCATTCCTTCATCGACAAGGAATATACCTTTTCGCCCATATGAATGAATACTTTTAAAATACTGTATTAATTTCGAATATTTGAGGCAAACAATTTTTTAGAATAGAAAACAATCACTCATAGATACTCCAAGGTCGATACAGTAAGTCACCAAGGCTTAATTAATTTATAAAAGGAATAAAGGATTTTTAAGGATGAGATCGATAAATGATGGCCTTTTCAACGAGGTATTAACAGTATTTAAGCTGACTTTTTAGAAAATAGAAATAGAAATAGAATAAAAATAAAAATTAAAATAGAAAGTATTTTAAAATAAAAAAATGAATTAAAAAATAAATAGCTATTCAGCCAGTTTCAATAAGAAATTCTTATCCAATCCTTCCCCAATTATTTATTTATTTTATTCTCCAAATTAATTTTTTCAGTTTTATGTTTATTTTTATTATTCATTTATTTTATATATATATATATATATATATATATTATCAATTCTATTTATCGTTCATAATAATAATTAAAGATTTTCTTTTTGATAAATTGAACTTATTCTTTCAATGGTTTTACAATGGTTTTCTATTTCTATGCTAAAATTTTTATTTTTAAGAATAGAAAATTTATATTTATTTTATAAAAATATCTTTTTATACAACAATTAAAATCTCTTTATAAGTAACCAATGATGCAAATCCATTTCAAATTTCGTTGAAATTCCATATATGGGATTATATTTTACCAAATAAAAGGATTGTTTAGGATGGCTAGAAAATAATTGATGGTGAAAAATATAACAATTAGTATAATTAAAAAGTTAGTAAATAACAATAAAATCGAAAATATGGACGAAATGAAAATTGCAATAAAGCCTAAAAATAAAAAACTTTGTAGTAAATTATAGGGCTAAAATTTGCTATGTTTTATTAAAGCATACTTCAAATCAGATGAAAATTGGGTTTTTAGAAGATTAAAGTTAAGATTTATCAAAAAATAATAATAATTTGGTATGAAAAACTAAAAAAAAAAGGGTAAAATGGGGTTTAAAAAAATTTAATTGGCGAGTAACTTTGATAATTGAACTTTGATAAATGATGAGATAGTATAAACCGACTAGGTTACTATCTCGCTTGGTTACTATCTTTATAAAATAAAATATTCTACAGTAGGGATGAATTGTGAAATATGAAAATTAAAGGCCTAATAGGCCTAATCAATTGTGCTGTTGTTTTTTTATGATTTTAATAAATAAATTTTAATAAATTTTACATAATTTTACATAATTTTAATTTAATTCACATTTAAATACATTTTAATAAATAAATTAATTCACTGAAGAAATCCATATCTTTTTTATACTTTTTTTTTTACATCATACAGTAGCACTAACATTAACTGATTACATGGCGATTGCTGATAGCGAAATTATGATTGCTTAATCATAGCGAATGCATTATCAATGAAATAAAAAATACAACCATCAATAATCATATAGTCGTAATTATCAGACGAAGAGCAAAATAATAAATTCACCAAAAAGCAATAAAGGCGCCAATGTTAACAGTAATTACAAATGAAAATATCACTTTATCACTTAATATAAACATATATTATTCAAGAGTTTTCAATAAATTACTTATAATTTTTCCATTAATTTCTTCATACAATTTTAACTAAAATATTTAATTCATTGATTTGAATAATTAATAATTTTTTAGGCATTTTTCACGTCATCAGTAGTTTAGGCAATTTTATGACAAATTTATTTTGTAACGATTTCTTTTCCTATGATTTTTAGAATTAGATCGTAAATAAATAATTAAAGAATCTCTTAAAAAGACCCATATAAAATAGAGTTTCAAAATTTTGCATAAAAAATGGATTTTGCAGAAATTTATCTATGTTTCAAAATTTTGCATAAAAAATGGATTTTGCAAAAATTTATTTAGCCAAAAGAGAAATCTCATTTACAGTTGATTTTGATGCGATATTTATTGGCTTTAAGTAAATGTCTAAATTGATTTGAAATAATGAAATATAATTTTATTTATTGATTAAATTTAAATTTAATAAACAAATATTGTGAAGATTTTTTGCTAACTATTGGACCAATATTAAAATTTTTCGTTCAATTAATATTTCTTATATTTTTATCATTTCAAATAGATTCAAAAAAAAATTGATCATCCTATAGACGAATAGATTTTATTCAAAAAGATATGATAAGATATGATAAATGGTAAAAGTTGAAAATTTTGTAATCTCATAAAAAATGCATATCTTATAGGAAAATATTGATCATGGATAGAAAATTAAATTCTACATTTTAATTTAAATTTAATAAATAAATAAATTTAATTTTTATTTTTGGAAAATTTAATAAATTTAAAAATAATTTTTTTTTTGCCAAAAATAAACTTTTATTCTTATAGAATGCACATCTATTAATTATTTATTCGTTATTAATACGGAAGATGACATGGAAAACTCAATAATTTATAACTATATAACTGGTAAAATTATTCTCAAAAAAATTTCATAAATAGCTCTAATAAATTTTCTTTAATTTTCGACAAAAATATTTTATTTTCATTGATATTTGATATTTTATCCCATGTGCTCGCCACTCTTATTATTAATCGACATTTATTTGATTTTTTTATGTATACAAATTTTCAAACCAAAAAAAAAACAACTTTTTTCGGATCCTTTACCAAGGGTTTAGAAGAATGAGGATTCTATGCAATATCTTAGTTGCTCTTAACAGTGCGCTCTTCTCGATAGAGATCTCTGACGCTGTTCCTGGAATCTATTGATGCTATTTTTTTTTAAATTAGGAGTCACAGTTCCAAGTGTTCAAATTATCACTAGAATTATTTTGGCCCTTACTTTAAACCACATAATACAAGTTATATTATATTAAATTCAGCTATATATTCCATAAGAAATTAAAAAAGTAGGCCATTATCAAGTTTATTGTAATGCCTTATAAATTTTCAAAATTTTAGCTTTTTGACCATTAATTTATTTTTTGTAGGACAGATTTATGATATTTTTACCAGTTTTATTCGTGAGATCGTAGCGTAATCTTTTTCATCTAATGGTTCTCAGGCACGCTTCGCTGGCAACGAGGGTATGTCGTCTCTAAGTCAGTTCGGTCTGAATATCACCGATAATCATAATAGAATAGAAGCTATTGCATTTTCCATGTAAATTATTAAGCCAATATTCAAGGTAATTGGAGTGTCCTTTATGCCACATTGATTTACTTGATGAATAATGTTCAAATATATTGTCAATGAACGAGGTTGTCAAAATTTTACAGAAAAAGCCATATTTAGCACTTATCATTTCAGCTTAACTACCCTCCACAGGCTGTTATTATTAAGATGAGATGATTCGGCGAGATGATTTGGAATTCAGGCATATGAATACAGATGTATCTAGCATCAACCTGGTTTCTTTGTGTCATTTAAAAGAATATGAACTTATGCTTAAAATGATAAAATAATAAATAAATGATAATTCAAGATTAGTTCCAGATTTCAGTAAAATTTTGACAAGAAACAGAGAAAGGCAAAGAAAAAAATGAAACAAGAGCCGTTTATTACAAATCCTAATCAGCCAATAACCTTATAATTTAGAACGACGAAAATTCCAGAATTTTTTGCTATTTTCTCGAGTTCAAGGTTCTTCTTTTGCAATAATGTGGACAAGTCGTCTTTAAATATTGTCATTTCTAAGACGATTAATAGACTGAGATTTGTCCGATGACTTTTGTCACCAGTTGTAAAGATCTTTTGGACTCTTTTCTATCCTGTTCGAATCCAATCGACGCATCGTGTTTTGACGGGCGACAGTGTTGCCTATGGCTCGCTCAACTCGGAGTGCCGTTGCTAAGATTCCATTCCCCGCAGGACTACAGCTCTTTTTCAGCAATCCGAGTGATGCACATTTTAAGAGACTTTTTGAACTTTTTTTTTATCTGAACTAAATTTAAGCTATAATAAAAAAAATTATTAACATCAGCACATAAATAATTTGAGATCCAGTGAAGGACTAAAAGACAAAGTCTCAATTTATATCGTAGATAATTCTAGTAGATAACAGATAATCAGCATAAAGATTATGATACAATGAAATTTCCTCATATTTTCAAGAAATAATATAATTAATGGTCAAATCGAGCAGTTTGGAAACCTTTTACCGTTTTAGTCAGCGGAACCAACTTAACCAATAATGGTGAGAGCTATTAGCAGAAAAATTAATAGTAACTATTATCTTTCAAGTTTATTTTTTAAAATTATTTCAAATATTTCTATCAAGATGTCAAATTTTCACCGAATACAATGGTACCTATAATTAATGGATTAATAAAGTGAAGTAGGTTACATAGTAGAAAACAAGAATCGATGAAGAAGCAGAGGAATTTAACTTGCTAATATTATTAAAAATTAAGTTAATTTCAGGAAAAACTCTTCACAGAATTTTCTTTATCAACTAATAAACATTTAAATTATTATATAAATATAAATAAATATTTATTTATGAATCCTATGGCATATATAAATTTATGATTTATGATTTACATGGATAGTTTTATGTTGAATTTCTAAAAATAATACTTAAGTTCTTAATGTTATAAAATAATTAATTGAATGTTTGTTGAGCAGAAGAATTTGTTTTAAAAAAAAAAGAAGTCTTCCAAGAATCCACTAAAAAATATTGGCAAAAATCCCAAAAGGCAATTTTTATATTCTTTATTTTTAGAATGAATTTAAACATTTTTATTAAACGCTCATTTCCGTATATAAAAATAAGCGATTTTATGCGAAAATAATCAGTAAATAAACGATTAAATTAGATTTTACATTTCCGATTGTCATTCTTTAAGGTTCACTTAAAATTACCGAGGTAAATATATATATATTAAATTCATCAAATTGATTAATTGCTTGAGCGATTGAATGACCCAATGGAATATTTTTATCGCGAAGCACCGATATTTCTATTCTTTTAGAGTAAAACCGTACAACATATCTTTAAAAAATATAGGTGCAGAAAATGTGAAATCTCGATTTTTACCATCCGATTATATATAATAAATATAGACACTTCGAATTGTTCTTATATTATATTATTCTATAATTTCCTCTTTATTTCCTCTCTAAATTGTTAATTTTATACCATAATTTCTTCTTTTTCTTATTATTAATTTTTATTATTTCTTATTTTAACTGTTGTTATTAATGCAAGCACATGGCGT